CAGTTAAGAGTGGATAACTGTTGTTTGCAGGTAACAGGGGTTAAGATGCCTGCAGATCAGCCAATTGATCCAAAGTACATTGAATGGATCAGGATGGGGACCACGGTGGCTACAAATGCTCTGTTAGAACGAAAGGGAGAGAGAATGGCACTAGTTATTACTGAAGGATTCCATGATTTATTGCATATTGGCAATCAGACAAGACCATACTTATTTGATCTAGTAAGATTCATTTATTTATTTTTTAAGGAATAAAGGCTGATAGTTTCTAAAGAAACTGTTTGGGGCTGCGTCAGTGGGGGTAACGAAATAATTTGGATATATCAACAAAGTTGAAATGGTAAACTGGCCACCGTAACGATTACAAAAGCTGATGTTTCGAGCGTTAGCCCTTCGTTGGAGGGAAGGGCTAACGCACAAAACGTCAGCTTTTGTCATCGTTGCGGTGGCCAATTTACCATTTTAACTTTGTTGATATATCTAAATTATTTATTTATTACACTGCATTGTTGAATAGCATATAGCTGCACCAGAGCTCAGTACTATTGAGTGGTATTGGCAGTAAAGTGAAACCCTAATTTGATTATCAACTACACTTTGTTAGTAAGTATGAATTTAAAAGAAAGAAAGCTGATATTTTGAGTGTTAGACTGAAAACATCAACTTCCTTGAATTTGCAGCATTGACAAAAGCCAGATAGGATCATGGATGGGATCACGGATTGGATCAGAAAAAAAAAGTTATGGAAAATTTAAAATAACAAAATTTTGTAAAATATGTCAAAATATGTTATCTGATCCGTGATACAATCCATGATACAATCCTTGACCCGATCTGCAATCCAGTCAGTGATCCAAACCAGGTTAAAATTAATGTGGATGCCATTGAATTTGCTGACTCAGCACTTAATCCTTTGCCTTATTCTTTTAGTCAACAATACACTACAACAGTGTCATTAATTGCACTAACTTGTAATATTAAGCTTTTGTCAATAAAATAGTTTTTTAATTTTCCAAATGACCTAGAAGAAGCCACTATAATTGTTGTTTTATATCACAAACAGAAAGCAACTTGTCCAGAGGTCTTGTATGATGATGTGGTTGAAGTCAGAGAAAGAGTTGTTCTAGTGCAAGAAAAAAGTGAATTAGAACTGCCCGATGAGAGCTTCTTGGTTACGGGAGTTACTAGAGAAAAGGTGAAGCTAGATGAGGAGGCTTGAGCCAAGACTATAAAACTGATAATAAATTATTAATGGTAATAATGCTGGGTTTTATGTTACTTAAATTTTCTGTGGGGAAGAATTGTTTATTTTTCTACCAGAGGACTAGTGGGCTCACTTAATAGTCCATTTTACAGTTGCAGGCTTGGAACACGAGTGAGGCTCCCAGTTAGCTCAATGGATAGAGCGCTGGACTGCTGTGCGGGAGGTCAAGGGTTCGAGCCCCGGCCGGACCAACACTCAAGGTCTTAAAATAATTGAGAAGAATTTGCTACCTTTCTATAACTTCTAGAAATGGTTAGATATTCTAGTCTTCTCGGGTAGGGACGAATAAATGGAGGTCCCATCTCCTGTAGGGTTAGGGGCAGGAGACGTTAAATTTCCCACACACGAGATTACTGTGTGATGGATGTCCTCCCCTGGGGTGGGATGGGTGGGTTTACTGGGCCCACAGTAATTGGCGTAAGCTGTTGCAGTGTCCCTGCCAGTTGGTGAAGCTTAAATAAATTAATAAATTAAAAAAGGCTAAGGGTGACCTTGTTACAATAAAAATGTTGCTGCTTTTCAAATGTAAATTACTTTCAATTGTTATCATGCTAACTGGATACTGGTCTCTATCACAACAAGGTCACCTTCAGCCACACTCAAATTCAATGGCTTGGCAACCAAGTGAAGAACTGTAAAATTGCCAGTTGACATGTCAGAGTTAAGATCAGAGAGAGACTCTGGGTGTTTGATTTTGATTTAGGCCTTTTTGTGATAAAGACACCTGAGTCCATGAAAAATGTTTCACTGTGAAATATTAGTTAACAAAAGTCAACTTGTTTTTTTGTTTGCTATTGATCCACCCCAAGTTGATAGTTTGGAAACCACTTGACAGATTGAAGCTTAAAAAGGATTTACAGGTAATATATTAATACCATTGAGACTGGTACATCCTGCAATATATTAATTCTTAATTACAGCATGAGCTATCTCTTTGCAATATAGGATGTGGGGGGTAAAAGTCCTTTTCACAGTTGTGGGCCTGGTGGCCAAGCCTTTGAACAGGAGTGAGGCAAAGGTTGACCTTGTTATGATAGAGATGTTGCTGCTAATTTTCAATTGCAAATTTTTTTTGTTATCATGCTAACTAGATACAGGTCTCTATCACAACAGGGTCACCCTTAGCCTCACTCCTGTTCAAAGGCTTGGCCACCAAGCTCGCAACTGTAAAAAGGACTATTGTGTGGGATCATATCTTTGGATCAAAATAAGGTTTTGAAACTAAATTGTAAGGAATCATGGGAACCTATCTTAGACTAAAGAAAATTATTTTAATTTTTTAAGTATAGAAACTGAATGATTGATACATAGCTGTCCATTTCATTCCTATCAGGCCTAGGTTGTGTGAAGGTTAGATAACGCTATCCACTGTGTAAAGGTCTATCTAGTCGATTGCACAGTAAGTTTTGCAGTCACTAGTCTACTGGATAGCAATTTATCTGTTGGACAGCATTATCCTCCTGTTGTTTGATTTTTCTCCTTCCATCATGATTGTAACAACTGACAGGCTTCCTGGTAATTCTGAAGGGAGGGGCTAGAAATGGCCACTCTCCCTCCATCACTAGTATTGCTGACAGTATTATTATTATTTTTTTTAATGATAGAAGATTCTGGACAAAGGGATCAAGAGTCTGGCAGTAGTTCTTTTGCACTCATACATGTATGTTTATTTTTGTCAATGTTTGGCCTTCCTTGTTGTCTGGCTACTTTATTATGTCTGATGATGGCACAAGATTGGTAATTTTATGTTGATTGACACCAATTTTGAAGATCATGTTTACTGTATGTCAGTTGATATTATGATATTGGATGAGAGTTGGTTGATACTTGACTGATATATCAGTCAACAGTTGGTCGACAGTCGACCGATATATCGACCAATATATCAACTGATATATTGAGTGATACATCGATTGAGACTACCTGCTGTAAACAGGATGCATTTTTGTAACTTAAGGTCTGTAGTTGAAAAACATGTGCGCCTCACAGAAAAATTCTATAGCCCACAAAGTCACACATTTACGATTCCCTTTCCCTTGATATTTGGTCAAGAATACCCCTCATTACACCCAAATGAACTAAAGAACAGATGAACATCTTGCCTTAAAGGTATACATGTGAAATGTTGGTACTGGTATTCACGAGAACTTATCCTTTGCATTTCTCATCAAAAAATGTAAGGTAAAGGTACTTATAATAAGTACACCTACATTATGTTAAGGTTGCAGTTACTATAATATCTTAAATTTGGATTGACACTCAGGTATGATACTCATGAGAGGGAAATTGGCCAAGTAGCCCTTGAAATGGGTTTTGAACAGGTTTCATTGTCATCTGTTGTTATGCCAATGGTAAAAGTTGTTCCTAGAGGATATACAGGTAGGTGAAACTGATACTATTCCTTCACTTTTAAAACTGATAGTATTACTGAGCAAAAACTATCATTGATCAGTAAAAGCATAAAACAATAACGGGAGTAACTTGATTTTGAGTGCAATGTGGTGTTGATAAGCACAAGTAAATCTTTTCATAGAAAAGTCTTTGAAAAATTTACAAGTGCTCTCAAAATCATGTTGTTACCTGTTGATAATGTGCATGAAAAAAGCACCACAGACAATCAAAACTGTCAAAATTTTGACGGCATGTGTATGCTATTTGCAATGTTTATTTGTATCACAAGTTTGTGCTTGTGCTAAATTTAACTTTGCAGTTTTGTTACAAGGAAAATGCACTTGTTTTCAGCCAATCAGACGCATGTAATTTTTTCATGTTAACTTTATTATTAATGATTTAAAATGTGGTCAACCATGTCAGTTGTGGTACAGTTTGATTTACTCATAAACAATCTCCTCATATCACTTGGTCTCTTGTGATCTCCGGAACTGTTCTTTTGCAGCTTGTGCAGATGCTTATCTAACACCCTGCATCAAGAGATACGTAAATGGG